AATATTAAGATCATATTCAAATCCAATTTCTCAATATTAAGATCATAACCTCCCAAGAATTCCTATTTTTAGTCTTATGCTGATAATTTTTTGTCTTTATTTGGCCAGTAATTTCAAATGCTGGTAATTTCAGACTAAGCTACAATCAGATTTGTTGACTTGCCTTTAGCAAACTGAAGGTATAGAGGTTTGTAAATTATTACCTATGGATTAGCATGATATGGAAGCTCACTAATTATGGCTTAGTTGATTGCCATAGCTTAGTGCAATATGTGAATCAGATAATTAATTTTCTTCCAATATGTTGACTTACCTCTCCTTTTTCATTAAACATTTATCAGACAACACATATTCATCTAGTTGGGTATCACATATTATTTGCCAAACACATCAAAATTTAAAATTCCTTTGAAACTGCATGATTTTCTAGCAATTTCACACTAAAAAGACATCTCAACAATTCCTCTCTCCTTAAACACTGGAACAAAATTAATGCTGTCAAAAGGTACATACATCTACCATTATTTCAAACCAAATGGTCTGGACAACGATAGCCTGTGGAGTAGATGAGCAAAGTAGTCCATTGCCAAGTTAATTTAAAAGTTATATTTTATAATCTTTCATTGAATTTTATTGGGCAAACTTGAGACAATCCACATCTATGCATCTGCAGGTGTTTGCATATTGCACTGAATGTCACATACACAATGGTTTGCCTCTTAAGGAACAACTGATTTCTATGCAACACATTTATTTTCTTGCCACAAGAAAGCTTTGTCACAGAATTTCAGGAACACATTAGTGCGATTTTATTACAAAGCAGTAGCTCTTCTGCTACAGTATTATAGAAACTAATCCTTTAGAATAGTTATTTTAAAACTTCACCAATACTATTTATAGCATGTGATACTGCTCTCTCTCCTAATGTTTTTTTAAGCCTTTGACAGTTTATTTTTTTTTACTTAATGAGCAATACCGTTTTCAGAATGCCCCTTTCTATTCTACCTGTAGGGCTTTTACAAAGAAGATATACCTGAAATATACTCTGTCCATTCCATAAGGCTTCTATATTATAAAGTACATCCCTCAAAATCAAAATCTTGCCCGGGAGGCTTTATTAGCATAGAAATGCTACACCTGGACACTTTTGGGGATGTGCCTTCTCATCTTTACCCCTTTGGCCTCTGACCAACTAATAGCCAACTTATAGACCATGATTCAGAAACACCTCGCTCCTGGATGATATGTAGGATATATGTTTCTTCATCTGGCAGGATCTAGCTGCCCTTGCCTAGGCTTAGATGCTTATAGGATTAGATGAGAACAACTTTATTGTCACTTTAAATGTACACCAACTGGCATACATTAAAATGAAATGTTGTTGCATACAGCTCTCAAGGGGTCACCACCTCCAATATACATTACACAAACACGACAAAATAAATAAAAAATGTATGCATATACTCACATATCCATATACATTATATGATAAACAGAAACAACACAGTCTAGTTCAGATGTATACATGTACATGGTGAGAAAAAATAATTACCTGAATGTTTTTAGTGTTAATTGATATAACTCTTGGTTTCCTATCAACCAATCCAAACAGACTGACCAGGGAAGGTTTCCATTATAGGCTCTGAAAATATGACCAGGAGAAACAACAGTATCATCTAATCCAAACATTGCAATATAACAGGATAAGGCACTCTGGACATACAAATCCTTCAAAGCAGTGTCTTTAAAAAGATCTTTGAGTAAATTTGAAGGATTTTCTTTCAAATGAAATAGGTCTAGCTGTCCAAGTAAAAAATGATACCACTCTAATGGAAACTTCTGCTTCATCTGATGGAATTTGGCAGCCGATAATGGTGCAGTTCTCCATTCTTCAGGAATGCTTAACAACTCAGAATAGAAGTTACTGAGTTTAATAGGGGATGAATCCATATTTCCCCAGTGTTTTCCAGCATCTACAACAGGAAGACCAAGAACAACAGTTTTGTAGAGTTTATTCACACTGGCTACTTCAAGTACTTCATCATCCGTAGTATGTATTTCTACTGAGCCTGGAAGAGAATAGAAAGGTCTTGGTGAACCACCTTGTGGTACTGTGACATTTGTTTTTAATGTTTTTTTGCTAGGTTCATCATCAAAGAGATTGCTATCATCAGTCCACTCTTCTGTAGATTCCACACTGAGTGCATCTTCATCTTCCCATGAATCTGGTCTTTCTATTGCCTTGTTTAAAACTTCAGACGGTCCTGCTGAAGAGGACTCCTGTTGGGGTGTAGGCATCTTTTCAAGAGGTCTAGGTGTTTTTGACTTCTTATAGCAGTACTGGATTAGCATCCATAAGAGTACTTTTATGAAGTCTTCTTTCAACTGCTTCCGATTTTCAGGGGAATCAATTATTCCAGATAAGGTATTTCTGGCATCTGAGTAGAGTTTTACAGGAAGAGCAGCACAAGGTGTTAAAATATTTCCGAAATGAGGGTTGAGGGAGAACATCTTATTATGTTCATGATGTTCAAAGGCCATTGCAAAAATATCATCAACTCTGTGAGCTTCAGCAGCATGGCAGGAGGTTTCCTGCAATTCTAAACCCTGGATTAAAAGAAAAGGAAAAAAAACACACCCGAGGTGTTTCAAGGACTTTTATAGACACTTAGCAACACAATGCTTCAGATATAGGTTGAATGCATACCAATTTACTGACCCATATCAAATAATAATATTGAGGATAATACTATGTACAATACTTCTTGATTTGGGTATCACAACAACCTGGAATTAGAAGAATGAAAATAATGTGGAAGAAGAGGGAGGAGAAAAGGTCATGTTCCCAATCAGCCAACCAAAGCTAGCCATACTGAAACATTATGCTCCACTTCTATTTCTTTCTTAGTTTCCCATTTAAACCCAGAGCAAGGGTTTAGATTTGTGATATGATTATCACACGGTGACAACTAAGGTGGTACATAATTTAAAACAATTCAGAAAAAGCATTCCAGCCTCATATAAAAACAATTCCTCTGTGCTATTCATTAAAATCATCCAACCTTTTTAGGATTTGAGTTAAACTTGCAAAAAGGTACAAAAAGGAATTTGCTTATTAAAAATAAAGTGATGTTTAAATGATACCAAATCATTTTGAGAGTGTGAATATCTTTACAAAATTTCTCAGTATCAACTTACATTGGAAAATTATGAGAATCAGTAACATTAGATAACATTCTTGCTCTTATTATCCAAGAAGACTTTCAAAGGGTTTGATTAATTGTATCTGTGATATTTTCACTAGAGAAATGGAATTAAAAATGCTAAAATACAATGACATTTTGTAATTAGCCCCATATCTGATTCCTTCATTTTATATAACACAGAAAGAAAGTCAAGCTGGAAGTAGCGGAGAAGGAAAAATAAAAGAGAAAAAAAAAATCTTCTGTTTTTATCTTATTTTCCTCCATTTCTCCAAGTAAAGGTTAGGTAATGGCACGAAGTTTATTAGATAGTTATTTTCTTAACCTACAGAGAGAAGTCAGAAATTGGAACTGCAGAATTAGTTTGTACCCCTAAACCAGGGAGGTCAAACTCGAGGCCCACAGCCAGATCTGGCCCATAGGGTGCTTAGATCTGGCCTTGGGGCTGCCCTGGAAACAATGAAGGACCAGCCCGCAGTGCCTCTGCTAGCAAAAACGGAGCTCGGGAGGACCACATGCGGCCTTCCTGAGCTCCGTTTTCATTGGCAGAGAGCTTTGGCCACCTCCAACATGAGTGACATTGAGCTGGCCATACCCACCCTGGCCACTCCCACTCTGGCCCCCTGAGGTCAAACACAACCCTGAAGCGGTCCTCAATGAAATCGAGTTTGATGCCCCTGCCCTAATCTAAATCTATCCCTGACTTTCTAAAAATAAAAATACATCACAATTCTATATTATTATACATTAGCAACAATTAAAAGAATAGAGGAGTGGTGGAATATAGTGATAACAACTAAACAGGTAATTGTAACCACATCATAGCTATAAAGTGTTACAGGACTAGACTGGAATGATTGGGGCATAAGAATATTCAGGCAGGAATTCTTTTATTGCTATGAAGCACACTGGACCAGTTACTTTCTCAGAAAATCCTCTTTGTGATTATTACAGATAAGTGAGAAAGCAACATAAGCCTTTGGAGGAAGGAAGGATAAAAATGTAAAAAACTGCAGCATGGAGTATTATGATTGATCATAATGCCAGGGAATTTCTAGAAGCCTGGCATTCTGACCAATCAGCCATCAATAGACACAGAAACATTTGCTACATCTATAGATTATGCAAAAGAGACAATCAACCAGCCCCAAAGAGAAAAAGACTCCATCATCTCTCTATGAGTGATCAGCACTCAGATCAGCATAGATCTGATGTTAACTTCAGACCAACAATCAAGTAAGCAATACCCCAATCAAGAAAGAGCCATCAGTAAACAGCCCAACCAAAGAATCTCTAAGACCAACCCCACACTGACAGGCAAGACACCAGAATATAAACTGACAGCAAACAGCACTCCTTACTAGCGCTAATGATGTTACCTAGTTAGGGTAATGAAACATCTGTAAGAAAACAAGCAAGCTTAGAGAGCACCAAAGACCCCTCAGTATTATGATTAACTTTCTAATCTATCCATGTTCTTATTGGATACTCGCTCCCATCACCCCATCTATCGGACTTTCATTCCTCCAAATACATACTGTATGCATTTGTTTGGGTATACATATGTTTTGGTATACTTTATTGTTTCTCTAGCCCAATGGGGGCACCATTCTGGGTAGTGTTTGAACATGGAATTTGAGAGAATTATAGGCTACTGTATATGTAAGAAAATACAACAATCTTATATGGAAGCTAGTGAAAATGGCTGGTTTTGACTTAATAGAAAATTAAGTGGATCAAGTAAGCTTTTACTTTCAACTCTTCTCAGTTATATTAGGAAGCAGTTCGTATATATTGTACATTTAAGAAGTACTGTTATTTTTACTAATATGTAAAGTAACAGAGAACAACACAGGCTTTTAAAAATTCTACTTGCCTTGATATTAAGACAACAGTAAGTATAGCCTCTCTCTAAAACAAGGATCCATATTAATCTGTCTTGAAATCGGCACAAGTAGTGGGATCCAGGTGAACAGAAACCTTTGAAAACAAGAATCCGCAAATAAGGATTAGTTTTTACTCAAGGATACTTTGATCTACACCAGTGGTAGTCAACCTGGTCCCTACTGCCCACTAGTGGGCGTTCCAGCTTTCATGGTGGGCGGTAGGGGTTTTGTCCCCTACTTTATAAAACACAATTACTGTGGAACCGGTGGGCGGTTAGAAAATTTTACTACTAACAGAGATACAAAAGTGGGCGGTAGGTATAAAAGGGTTGACTACCCCTGATCTACACTGTCTACATTTGAATAAAAAATAATCATATAATGTAATAACACAAGTTGGAAAAATGGTATATAAACAAACTAGAGTGCATTATGAATTCGGTTTAAATCCACTATGTGAAGCTTATTATAGATATGAACTCTAGATACATGGCTATTAACACAACTTGCATTTTTTTCAGGTATTTTACTGCTTAGAAATTTTAATAAGTGTGGTGGTTTTATAATACAAATAGAACCTTATAATGATAAAAACACTTTCTGAAATATCTCAATGACAAAAGAATTAGTGGCGTTTTGGTAACTACATCATTTTCAGGTATTCAGCTGGAATTTAACAAAGTTTTGCAATTTTTTGCAAAATATTAATTATAAATATATATTAAAGTAAAAACCCACTATTGTATATGTTAATTCTTTCTTTGATATATCTGTAGTCATTATTATTAAATTTATTTGCCACTAATCTCATAATTTGAAGCAACTCTAAATGGCTGAGATTAGGGATATATCAGTAATGAGTAAATTAGCAGTTATGCCCAAACTATTGCAGCTGAAAATCAGAATAGCCTAAAAATGAATTAAAGAAACCTGCCTTTATGTTATTAAAATTAAGTAGCCTTTTTAGGACTGCTGAGAAAAAAAGAGTACATTCTCTTACTACCATTTTTATTACAAAAATCTTAATTCTACACTGCTGTCTAAATGGATAAAATATGCTCAGCATTAAAATATAACATGATACCCTGCTAAGAATACCTAGTCAAGAGTCCCTTTAAAGACCAGGTGGTTTTTTAAAAAATATAAAAAACATTTAAAAACATATAGGCCCTAATGATCAGGCTCCTTCTTTTATTGCTCTGGTTTGTTGTGGAAATTTCAAACATCTCTTTCTGCTCTCCCCAATCATTATAGAATCAAATCATCACCTACATTCAGTTGCATTGTGGGGGCTAATGCTATCATTCAGTCAAATTACCCTTAAATTTTTGTTGTAGGTATTAAATTGGATAAGGGAATACATGTATGCTACCTTGAGCTCATGATACAGAGATCTGATACAAGCAAACCAAAGCATCAAGTTGGTAGCATAGGAAGAAATTCTATTTTCATTTCGATGATACTGAAATTTCTCTCAGATTATTATAGCAGCAAATAATTTCCTACATCTATGAGAATACCATACAAGAGTCTGTATATCAGCCCTGCTGTGTCTAGAAACCTGCAGCAGATTCCTTTGCATTTGAGGACAAGTTCATGGATACTTAATCAGGTGGTCTCATGAGCAGAGTTTTATCTTACCTAACCTGCCTGTTGAGAATGCTGATTGCAATGCAGTCCTTAAACTTGGGATCATCTGTTGATAATATACAGCATCAGGACCTACACAGGCCATCATGCCCACAGGTCCTGGCCAGCTTCGGACTGGTCTTGGAAAGCCTATCAAAAATATTGGGAGACTAAAAAGTGATAGCAAAGGAGAAGAAAGCAATGAAGAGAGCACTATGATGGCCATTACAATTGGAAAGAAAACAATGTTCAGTGTAATCAGAGTAGCTGTGGATTTCCGGCGTTGTTTTTTTTCTGTCCACGATGTCAAGAGAACAGTAATGGCAAATTGCAATTTTGAAACAAATTGAAACAGCCGACTCCGAATAATTCCAACCTAATAAGAGAGAAATAGCAATAATGTATTTCCTTCATTTATATTGCTTCTTCATGGGATTTCATTTTTCTAAAAAGCATTTGGAGTGTTCATGAAAGACTTCGAACTTTTATTAGTGTAGTGAAGCAAGCTCAAGTTTTCTGAACTTCAACTGAAAAATCTGAATTGATTTTGAAGGAAGGGTAGAAAGAAGAAATTAACCACGCCAATGGAGAACGATGTGAGGTTGCTTTTGAAAAATCAGAAGGCTTTTCTCAGATTAGCTAAAATAGGCAAATCAGAACGTATGCCAGATGTCCTGCTTACATGTCACAAAGTTTAATTCGAAGTGAAAAGGTTTGAATAGTCTAACTCTAAAACTTGACCAAAACTGTTTCAGCTATGCACACCTACATGAATCTGCCCAATTTTAAAAATAATCTACTGGAGGCGTTGCTCAAGTGATCATGAAGAACAGGACAATTTCACTGATATTAGAATAATTACAAATATATTTGTAATTATTCAAGCCTTGTCACTGAATGGCAGATTTATTTTTCTCAGCAAACAACTTAAAACTTTACTACTTCATGTTTATTTCAAAATCTGAATAAAGTTCAACATTATACTAATGTCTCTTGGCTAGCGCAACAAGATTTGTTCTTCCTTTCTATCCCTATAACCTTCAGCATGCTGTCAAAGTCTGTTCCAGAGAAGACTGCAAATTATTTTGGATTCTAGATGAAAATCATCTATCATCCAATTTAGCTAACAAAATCTACATTTGCTAATGAAAGGGACTTTGGTGATCTGCTTGATCCTTCTTGATCCCCCTGCTCAAGTAGGGAACTTTATAAAGGTAGTCCTTGACTTACAATAGTTCTTTTAGTGACCAGAGTTACAATGGCACTGAAAATAGTGACTTATGACCATTCTTCACACTTATGACTGTTCCAGTATCCCCATGGTTATGTGATTTACATTTGGATGCTTGACAACTGCTACATATTTATGACAGTTGCAGTCATAAGTCATGTGATCCCCTTTTGCCACTTTCTGACAAGCAAAGTCAATGGGGAAATCAGATTCACTTAACAACCATGTTACCAATTTAACAACTGTAGTGATTTACTTCACAAATGTGACAAGAAAAATCGTAAAATGGGGTAAAACTCGGCAAATTTTTCGCTTAGCAACATTAAATTTTGGGCTCAATTGTAGTTGTAAGTTGAGAAGTACCTATATCATTTCATACAAATGGTTTTCCAATCTGTTATTAAACACCTCCAGTGTTGGAGCACCCACAACTTCTGGAACCAAGTCTTAATGTATTAATGGACTGCATTCCACTGTTGTATTTTTTTTTAAAAATAGAGGATTTTTTATCCGGTAAGGTCTAGTGTCCCTACCACTTTGGTTCTAGTCTGTTTCTCAAATAGGGATTCAACTTACATATAAGTAAAATATGATAAATAAAGGCATTTTACCAGCAAGAGTCTAATTCCTGTATCAATGCTTCTGTTCCACCAGAGATCAGTAGTGAACACCAGCAACTGCACTGCAGACACTACCACCATATCCAACAGAGCATGCTCTGTATCCTGCCACACCTAAAACAAGTATTTTTGCAGTTTCATCATACAGATATGAAATACACTTTACAGTTCAAGTCTATTGTTCTGTTTTTTCAGAACAATAAACAATATTGCATAAAGCCCACTGGCCTCTCCATGATCTTACATCCCGTGCAAGCCCAGGCATCAAAGCAAACAATGGAATGGGTATGTGTTTGTGTGTGTAATAATATTACTTTATGATTTTTTTTCCATTTTACCACATTTTATGGTCTTCATTGCAATTTCTAACTTGTGGAAATACATGATGCTCCATATTCTTAATGAAAAAAATGAGAGCATACTTGAGAATAAATGATATAGGAAATTTGCAGACATAGAATTACATAAGAGTCTCCCTGGGTTTGATTTCTGACAGTTTCAAGGATATTTCCACTGAATTTTTTTCATGGACATATTAATTACCATATTTTTCAGACTATAAGACGGACTGGACCATAAGACAGACCTAGGTTTAGAGGAGGAAAACAAGAAAAAGGACTCCACATGTCCTTTTTTTGCCCTCCCTGGCATCCAGAAGCACTCTAGAAGCTGCCACGGGTCCCATTTTTGCCCTCCCCAGCACTGGAGGCCTCCAGACACCTGCACTGCACTGCAGAGTGCTTCTGGAGGCCAGGGAGGGCAAAAATGGGACACGCAGAGGACTCAGGAGGCCAAAAACAGGCCTGTATTCGCTCTATAAGTCACACACACATTTCCACCCACTTTTTGGGGGGTGGGTGGGGAAAGTGTGTCTCTATAGTTATAGATTTTTATAGTGTCTCTATAAAAATATGATATAATATCACAGGACTTTGGCTTATTCCAATAAAGGTAGTACTGGGTTAACAATTGTAATTAGGACTGGGAACTTTGTCACTAAGCAATGTGATAGTGATGTCACAATGTGATGTTACACAACTGTGCTGACTTTCAGTGGCAGTTCTGGTAATTCCTTCTGTTGTTTTTTGGTGCAATGCCACATGATTGCTAATTGCAACCACCTGCCAGTTTCCTCATTAACTTTACTTGTGGGAAGCCAACAGTGAAAGTTGACTACAAGATGCTTAGCACTGTTGTAACTTTGAATTGTTTTGGGACAAATGTTCATTAACTGAAGGGTACCTGTATGCTTTTAAATTTCCCAATCAAACTAACAGCCATTAAAATCATAGGTGCTTTACCTATGCAAATACTAATTAGAATGACCCTTTCTAAAATCCAAATTTAGCTAGGTTTCACCTATGTGTGGCTGCTTGCTGTGGTATGCATCTGAATATGTTTCATTAAAACAGTAATTCACTGAGCTGGGTATAATGACTCTTGGTTGTTAATGGAATGTTATTGTATCAATATTTACCAAATGCTAAAAGATTCTATACACAGTTATTCTAAAAACATATCCTTACTTTTGTATTAATGTCAGAGGACAAAATGTGCCACGTTTGAGGTCAAGCAATGCTACCCTCTAGTTACCCTTTAACTAGAGATGCCTAAATTTAATACTGGTTCTAACAAACAGAAAAAACATTCTCCACAATTTCAGTTTAATGGAATCAAGTACTAATTTCTAATTCGAATAAGTTCTCTTTTATTTAATAGGTTCAGTGGTTACATTGCAAGATGCTGGATTATTTTATAAAAAGCATGAAATACTTGAAATTTACCATTCTATAGCTTCTTGAAAGTCCAATGGAAATATATATGGATGAAAGATGATGTAGAGAATTGTCTATGGAAAGAAATGCTATCATAGCAAATGGTGACACTGAAATTACAGAAAAAAAGATATATTGTTACATATTTGGTAACAATTTTCCTTTTCATGGTTAATAAATGAGAAGTCAGATGATCCAACATATTTTAAACAATTTTGTATTTTTCCATCAACTAGCATTGTCTAATGGCTTATCATTTTGCCAGAATTTACATCATCTGTTTGCATATGATAAATCCTGGGTGTATAACCTGTTCACACACACACACACACCCCAAATGAAAGTTTATAGGCAAACTTTCAATCTCTCCTGGACTAATAACCACTTTCAATGTTAGATTAAACTTAAAACAATTAAATTTTAAGGTGGGAAATCAATTTCAGAAACTACCATTTGGAAATAAGCTTTTACTCAGTTTCGGATCTGATCGTCACCACCTTCCCCTTGCTCTATTAGCAACACATTTCATAATTTCATAAGATGCATTTTACTCTTTGTGTACTTATATAAAAGAAGAAACTGAGATTCTTACCTAAAGTGAGCAAAATCTTTCTTAACATACCAATTTTCTTGAGGTTCTTTTCCTTCTTTCCGGATGCATTCATTGTCATTAGGTCTTTTGGATAAAAGGGATTTCGGAACAATCCAAACAAATACACTGTTTGAATCTCTCTGAGAATCCATAGAGCAAGAAGCAATACTATCAATATGTAACTAATAACACCTTGTAGGCTAGTCTTGGAAAATGTTTGAAAACCAAGGAAAGAGTGCAATAAGCCAGCTTCCACAAGAGCAAAAGTCAATACAATGAAATAGAACATGAATTCCTTCCATATAAATTGTGTTCTACAGGAAGATGCGTTTTTAAATTTGCTGGAAGCTAAACAGCTGATCATGAAGTTCTTGAAGGTTAATCCAATCTCATTTAGATTAAGACTTAGTATAAATCCACATCCAGTCATGAACAGAACCACACCAAGCGTGTTAGGGATGAAGTAAGATGCAATAGCCGTTCCCAAAGAAATGATAAACATTGCTAGCAGCCTGTAATAAGAGAGAAAAATTAATGTATATGAAAGAAAGAATTAATAGAAATAGTTCACCTATTTTCAACTTATCTTTCTGAGAAACAATTTCTATTTCTATAAGGTTCGGCCCATTATATATATATAATGTGATGACATCATGCTATACAGTACTAAAGATACAGATTAAGCAAAGGCCTGCAGGTTTAATATGTATTAGGAAGACATTCTTAGCAGCCCATATAAAATTCCACAATTGGTAAAAATATCTGCCTAACTCTTTATTCAAACAAGAATCCAAGTTACAGCATCCACAATATAAGACTTTTCAGCTTCTGCATAAACATAACCAGTTCTGATGAAATTTATACCTCCCATGGTAATTGGTTTATCTATTCAACTGTTCTATTAGGAAGTACTCTACAGTCTAGGACTCAGGACTCAAGACAAGCTAAGATATTTATATTTATCTGAAAAGGTATATAAGGTCTATAACTGAATTACTGTGCTTTATACAGAATCTCAGCACCTTTAATAATAATTTGTGGAAATTTCATCAGACAAATGAAGTGCTATGTTTATTTAGGCTGCTGTTTGTATAAGAGGCTAAATGATTTGTCTGTGTGGAGCATAACTACTGAAATAATCAGAAAATAAAATGTGGGCAATTTTACCTGATTTCATTAATGGATTACTCAGTCTCTCAATAATTATATGACTATGAACTGGTCATAGTCCATGAAAACTTATGCCAGAATAGTTGTTGCTAAGATGCTTAACTATCTGAAAATACTGAAGTTAAGTAAAATAATGTTTACCTTACATTGCTTGACATAGGTGAGCCCCCTAGCCCAAGTTCCAACACTTGTTCCATTCCCCAGAGAAAAAGTGCATCCAATGGAGGCAGAATCCCCAAAGTCCATAAGAGAGGCAACGACAAAAATGTGATGTGCATAACCTGATTGACCAATTTTAAAGTTGCAACATCAGCAACAAATCTAAATGGAAGTAAAAAAAGAATATTATTTCTGGAATGGAAAAAGATTCAGTACGATTCTGCCCACATTTCACTGTATTATAAATAAATTCACTATCTATAAATAAGCCCAAGTCCATCAAACAAGTTAGTTACAAAGATAGAATTAATATATTTTTAAGAGCACAAGTCATTATTTTGCAGACAGTGTTTGTATGTTTTTACCTGTGAGCAAGATCCACTGCTATGAAGACAAAAATGTAGAATGGTCTCATAAGAGGAACAATTTCATAAGTGTCCAGTGCTTGATAAGAAGCAGTCTCTGAAGCAGTATTAACAATTAAGGAATATTCTCCAATACACACTGTCAACCATCCAAATACGAAGATCACCACAGTTGTTCCAATATTATCTCCGTACAAAGAAGCAATTCTGCTGGGCAGCAAATACCAAGTTCCTAAGCCACATAGTACTCCAGCAACAAGTGAGTGAAAAAACACATTAATTATATATTTTTTGCCTGGAATAATAAATTTGATTGTCTCAAAACCTATACAGCTAGAAAACTCCCACTCATCTTCCTCTGTTAGTATATTGTGGACATGCATTCTTTCTACAGGTGCAGTTTTTTGCCTGGCATACAAGTTTATTCCTTGTACAATAATAGCTGCAGCAAGCATTAGTCCTCCAGAAAGTGCTGCTGTGCAATAGTCTTGCAGAACATTTAACTGATATATAAGTGTCCCAATTCCACCTAGAATCCATGGTATCAAGAAGAGAAGAATCTGATTCAAATAGATGTAAGAAGGTGCACAGTATCCTAACTTAAATTGAGGGCCACCCAAAATGGTCTGTGGAAATCGCTTTAACAGGAATTCTTGCTTGTGGTCATTCAACAGGGGCACATCTGGGCCCATAATTATTTACTCAAATTTTGGCTGAATCTCATTTTTCTAAAGAGGAAAGAGAACAAAAAAGAAAACAATTTTACCAAAAGTGCATTTTTTTTTTCAAATATTGCCAATAAAGCAGTGTTATTTTTAGAAAACTGTGCATGCATGCCTCACTTTAAATGTCAGAGCTTCTGTAATTCATTCTTTTAAAAAACTCAATCATCTCTATTATATTACTTCATCCCAAATCTATAGAATACAGAATAACAGAGTTGGAAGGGATGTTGGAAGTCTTCAAGTCCAACCCCCTGCCTAAGCAGGAGAGCCTATACCACTCTGGACAAATGGCTGTCCAATACGTTCTTGAAAATATCTAGTGATAGAGCACCACACTTCTGAAGACAAGACAATGAAATTAATCATTTCATTATTAATTATTCTCAATGTCAGAAAATTTCTCTTTAGTTCTAGGTTGAATCTCTCTTTGATAATGCAGAAAGAAGTTTCCATCAGTTGCTTTTTGTCTTGCTCCCATATGCTTTGCAGAGTAGATTGTTCTCTCCCTCTTAGATACAGCCCCTCAAATATTGGAAGACAACTTATCATGTCACCCCAATCCTTCTTTTCATTGGATTAGACATAGCCAGTTCCCACAACATTTCTCATATATTTTAGCCTGCTTTTTTCAATCTACATTATGTGTCATATATTCTCAAGAATTGCCTTTTCTGTAGCAATAAAGTAAAAACTATCAAGATAAATAAAATTTATTACTCTGTTCTGGCCCTATTTTTAATTGTCCCTGTTAGTAAAAAAGTGAAGTTCAATTCCCAAGCTTTCTACTATAATATTTAATAGGATTTATCTTATAAAACCCATAGAAATTAGAAATAAGACTTTCTTAATAAATGTTCTTCAGAATACTGGTTTTCATACCATGTAACAAGATAAATTTAAACCAGTATGATATTAAACTGACTCTCAAAAGGGAACACATAGTATAAGCAATTTATCTCTCCCTCTCCATACTTCATTCCCTGCTGAATTTTCCATGAACTGTTTAATCCAGCAATCAGCAATATGACGCTCATGGACACGTAATGTGCCTTTCAAACCTTCTCTGAGGTTTACTGACCTGTCAGGTTCTTGTGTCTTATCCTGATTTGTGAAGCGTGAAATGTTTGAAATTGTTCAAGCTTGAAAAGAGCTGTTACGCCTTTATTGGAAATGCTCCGGTCCTGTTTTGAACTATTTTGAATGGGGTTGAAATAGCATCAGAATTTTGATAAGGCTAGAACAATCTACCTGAAAATAATTGTTTCAAGATGGAATGTTTGAAGCCCAAAATATTTCAAAATGTTTTACACATCTCTAATCCAGACTTGCTCTCCAATGCAACAGATCCTAGTATCCTGCACTACCTAATTTCATTTGTCCTACTGATCAACTAAGAAAATCTATTTGTCCTCCCTGTCAAGGAAGCAGTTGAAAATTACTTTTTCCCAAAAGTAATAGCAATGAAACTATTTAACCTGAGCTGTTCTAACCTGCAGGAAGGGAGACTTACATGAGAACACTTTTTAAAATGTGAGCTCTTATGTACATGGCAGGGTGTAAAATATAGTGGAATTGTAAACAGATCTATATAGTAAAACTCTTTAGAGGGATTAAGTGTGCCCCTGAAACCATGATCTGGCATCTTAAAAAGTTGTGTTTTCTTTCCTAAGGTAAACTTTTGGATCAAATTATATTGGCACAAGAAGGCTCACTAAATTTAGAGTTACTGTGATCTGGAAAGTATTCTTATTGTTAGAAGATCAGACTACATCTATTAATATATTTTCAGTTCTTCACTCAGTCATGGACCTCACAGAATCTAATAATTCTTTATAGTGAAGATAAAAGTACTTTTGACAAAAAGGCTGGGATATAAAATATATATGTTTATCTAATAGAACAGAAAAACACCAACACAATTAACTGTCTAGACAGCAAAATCAGTTACATATTAAATTATTTTGTACTTATATTGAAGTAAGAAAGTGGGCTACTGTCATAGGCTTCAAAGATCATCTTCAATGTATGAGATTTGTAGCATACATCAGGGTATATCTACATATGTAGGTTTGTGGAGATTTAAATATATACAGCACTCACCAAAACCAACTTTTTGTTTATAGCACATATGTTGCCAACACGTGTGCATCAGTGCCATTCAGATATGCAGAAAGTGTGATTCATAGTTTTTATCATTGGCTTATACTGGGACATGAAACTCTACCTTAAAAGTACAACTCTGAAGAGCTGATTCCAGAAGTGGCAACACCACCCACAAACTCTAACTGATCACCTTACCTGTCTTTATATTTCAGAGTTGTTGCAACGACTTGCAGTCTGGCTGGGGCTTTCAGGCACATAATAAATGGTCAAAAAACTGCCAGTGGCCTAAAAATACACAGCAGCTACCATCCGGCTAAAAAAGAGCAGCTCAGTTCGCCTCTTCTCACTTGGCAACTTCAGGAGCCACAACAAACAAAAGGCTTCCCTTCCCCCTTCCAGCGAATGCATAATTACGCAGACGAATAAATGCGCGTACACACACACAAAAGGACACCGTCGCTTTCGGCGACCAGAAGGGAAATGCCCATTATGCCAGGGCTGCGCCAGAGCCACACACCGTTGGCAAGCGAGCAGCACCTCCATACATACACCCCACCTCCCCCGTCTAGGTGCTTTGTGCGGCGGTGGAGCGGCGCGAGAGAAATGAGGAGGAGAAGGCCGAGCTTCTTCTAGGGAGGCGAGAAAGCGAGGCGGGTCACCTCAGCGAGCGCCGCTTTTCCTCTCAGCCGCCTCTCGAGGTTGGCTGGCCGGGCCCCGCGACTGCTCTCGCCCGCACCGCTTCTCCTCAAGGCTGACGCCATGTTTTTTTCCCCCCTCCTTCTCGCTTGCGGGAATAAAAGCGGGGCTGCAGAGAGAACCGGGAAAGGAACAGGGAGGTCGCGAGCGGGCGGCAGCCCTACCTACCTGCGTCTTCCCCTTCTTCCCTCAACACAACCATGCCCTCCGCTCGCCCAGCTAAGCTCCGGCCTGCCCGCTCCCTCTAGGAGCGAGGAAGCGGCGTGGGAGGGTTTGCCTTGATGATGGCCCCGTTGTTCTCGGAAGGGGGAGAAAGGCGGTGGAAACGCCGAGCGGGAAAACGTCTCCTTTGGCTGCCTTCAGCCGCCTTTCCCCTTTAGGCCCGCCGGGTCTAGGCGCTCGCTTTCCTACCGGAGAAATTCCAGAAATCCGGAACCCCGAGAAGGCGGCTGTGGCGCTTTGAAAGCTTCTTGCATTGCGCGGGTCCTTCAGATTCCGCCTCAAATGTATGCCGCCTCAAATGTATGAGTCCGGCGGTCTCTACTCCTAGGAAGTGAATGGCAACCTGCAAGGTTGTGAAAAAGCATTTTTGACCTGTGGGGCAGTTTCTGACGTTTTGCGCATTTTTGTTCTCTGGATGTTATCAGAGATGTACACAAAGAGGATCTGCACGAACATCACCCTTAAGTGCTTGTTTTAGTTCATAAACAAAGTCATGCGGCACATAGTGTGTTAGTGTGAAAAAGTAATTGCTCCGTTTAGATTCAGTAAATGTCTATGGAGATTCTCAGTCATCCAGGTCATGGTTGTCCCCAAAGGGCTTTTTCAAGAGGCAACTGGACTTTCTGGTTTTTGTTTGAAGACCTTTCACTTCTCATCCAAGAAGCTTCTTCAGCTTTAGATTCAGTAGTTTTATTTAATTTCTGTGCTTCTCAGAGACCCTTTAGCTGGGGCGCCCAACTTTAGCTGCAGTAACTGAAACCCAAACACTCTGTAACTGGGATCAGTATCTCACATTGCAGTTGGACAGGCTGAACTCATACTGGGTGAAGGTGGTAGATCTCAGCATCTTTTCTGGATCTTCACAACTCTGTCTAACACTGCCATCTGCTTTGGAATGGGAGTTCCCACGATCACTATTTTCTGGGACATATTTCACTTAACATCCACTTCATACATTCAGTGTATAAGACAGTCCTGCCATGGACCACAGCATGCCATTCCACCACCCCATCCTCCATTATCCCTCTGAGGCTGCCTTACTGTCCTGGCAATTAAAAAATAAAAGTGCAAAATAGTTTTAATATTGGAACCTTCTGACTATCATGAAGCAGTTAGTTAAAATTTTCATCTGTGGGAAATATACCAATCACACTAGAGATAAACCTATTTAAAGTTTTTTTTAAAAAAATTACAGAATTGAACATTACAGAAGCTTAAGGTTAAAAATGTTAAGTTTCAAAATGCAAACATTCAAAGAGGAAGAGGATAATTTCTGAGAATGTCTATTCTACCAAAGATGGCAATAAACCAGCTTTTTAAAAAATATACAAAAGAAAATGCAGTTCATAAGAGTATAGAAAATTGTACCATCTTGTGGTCTGTTTGGAACATTACATCCCACGAAATAGCTTTGGCACTAAGTCTCATTAAAGGGTATTTATTGGATGTGTCAAAATAATATTACATACCGCAAGACGTTTTTCAAGTGATATTGTATGGACTAAACCAGTGGTTAAGATATTGTTGTTTGTCTTTCTGCATGACCTGCTTGCACTGCAGCCACAGCTGACTGATTCTTCTGCAGCTAAATTAAAAAGGCAGCAAAATTATCTGTCCTTCTAGATGGCTCTCCAAATGAGTCAATGTTGATAACTGCCTCCATCTAATTAGAAACTATACCTGTAGCCATGTCTCACAAAATGGGCATGATTTAGGCTATCAGATGTGAGCTGCAAAAATCTAGATGATTACAGGATGACAACAAAAAGACAAAGTAAGTGAAATTTGATGCTATCTTTGCATCTCTGATCTGGTAGTATTACTTGGAATTACAAAATTTTAGAAGTTGAAAATACCTCCAGGTAGGGTACTTGCAACTACAATTCTGACTTGCCATATAGACAACAATGAATTAATTTTCATCTCCATAGATTTGAAAACCATTTATTGCATTTTATTTCTCTCCTTCAAGCTAGAAATATCTACTTTTATCTTTTGCTTCTTGAAGAATGTAATTTCCAGGCATCATTTTTCCCAGTTTATTCTTGAGGCTCACTCCAATCTTACAATATGGCAGTCAAAATTGGCAATTATGGTCTGGAAATTAATTCAGGTCTCTCCCCCGCAAAATATATATATATATATGCTATTGTAGTGCATGAAACCAATTTTAAGATTATAATGTATATGCATATATTATTTCTGGAAAATAATGTTTGCCATTGGAAATTTGAGAAATACTTATTTCTATCTGAGTATCAAGATTACAGTTTACAGTTTAATTTAGCTGCTGTAGAAAATTTAATTGGATTAATATGTTGAATCACAGTTTAAAGCTGCGGTTAGTTTTTAACTGCTTCTCAAAACTGAAAAATATAGAATTTTGTTTGCTGTTGTCTGAATGAGGTTTTAAATAGGCCTTCATTATTTTATTGCCTAGCTTTATTTAATTTGTTTGGACAGATTCTTACAGTTTCTGTTGCTAATATAATTCCTTGCAAATAGAGCAGAAGGTTCATCAGAACAAAAGAACTGATTTATTTTTAATAATAGAGCAAGCAATGTCCATCTAATCATGTACTATTCATCTCCTATTTCTGAATGTTAAAGTCTCTCTTTTGCTCCCAATTTGGCCTCATTTGCATCAAAGAGCATGAGTTATGTTATTTTTAATCTAGAGCTTCATATTGAATGTCTTCAAAAGTATATGGTATATGGGGTGTTGCTAACATAATTTTAGGTACACTCAAGTGATTTTCTAAAAATGAGGTAATCACATACTAAAGGATGGCAGAAAAGCAAGGGAGCAATCCGACATTTTGTTTCATGTCCAATTATGTTTTTTTCTTTTGAGCGACAATGAAGACTTTATTTACCTAGTAATGTGGGGGGGAAAGGGGGGAAAGACATTTAGATTCCTGCCCTGAACTCCTTACAATCCAAAGCAGCCCTCTTCCAACAGTCAAAGACACATTTATAAAAAATGTGAGTTTTGAGCAGGGTTTTGCAATGACTTACAATGGAAATTCTGGTCCACTCAAGATTACCTGTAAATGGACATACCATCAGTTTAATCTTTACTTTGGAGCACGATAGGCATGATCTGTAGATGTAAGACACTGACTTCTGTCCTTTGCCATGATCAGATACCACTGTTAAATTTTCTTTTATGATTGTCATTAAATAAAACATAGGAGAATTTCAAGTAATAAATATAATCTGAATAAACAATGGCACAAAAAGGCCATATCTGGAAGGGGTAATCCAAAACCAGCTCAATTACAACTTATTTTTCACTGCCCAAGGCATATTGATGGATTGTTGAGAAAAAGATGCCATATGAAGTATCCTGACAAAGGATAGGGAGGCCTCTAACTTTATTCCATTTGATGTGTCATACTTGTCATCATTTTTTCCTTTATGATTTATTGGTTTTATTGTAATCTTTTTATTTGTTTTGAGCTGTCCAAAGTCATTAAGAGGTGGATCCAATACACATGTATTAAATCAGCAGTCGCCAACCGGTGGGCCGTGGCCCACAGGTGGACCGCAGAAAATTTTGGTGGGCCGCAGAGAAATGTAGCCCCCAGAGCACCCCCCAAAGCAATTAATCCACGTGGCCCGTGGGAACCCTCCCCACCCCCACACTCCTTACCTGGCAAACTTGCCTGCTTAGTTATTTTTCCTTTTTCCGACCATCAGCTGTTCTGCTGTGCCGGGAGATTTAGATTAGCTAGAAAGCAGGAAATGGTTGGATTTCTTGCTTTCTAGCTAGTCTTTAGATCTTCGGCTCTGCTTTTAAACACAGCTGAACCTTCCTTAGGACTGAAGGTTCTATTATTCAGTGCAGACTCACAGCAAGCAAATTTGAGAGACTGAGCTAGCTGATGGCAGATGGCAGATCACTGAATGATTCTGTGAGCAACTCAATCTGCCTGCCTGCTTTGCCTGAGTTTAGGTAAAAGTTGCTCTTTTTAAAAAAAATTAAAAAGTCAATATTTACTTACATGGTGTGTTGTGAGTTAATTTTGTGAGTTTGCTTGCAAGCAAATTTTATGTGACAGACTGAGCTAGCCAATGACAGATAGATAGATCTCTGAATGAATCTGTGATTCTGTGAGCAACTCAATCTGCCTGCCTGTTTTGCCTGATTTGGGGTAAAAGTTGCTCTTTTTATAAAAAATTCAATATTTATATAAATATTTATAATATTTACATACAAGCCATGTCCAGCCAGTCACATGACCACCAAGCACACCTACAAATTAGGCCATGCCCACAGAACTGGTTAGTGGTCCCTGGAATTTAAAATTATGAGTTTGGTGGTCCCCAAGGTCCAAAAGGTTGGTGACCCCTGTATTAAATTATTATTTTTAAAAGACTTACCTGGCAAGCTGGAGTACCCTGTATGGCAATACTTTCAATATGACCCAGTTGTTTAAATGAATTAACAGAGATGGCTGGAATGAGGTTGCATATAATTGGAGCTGGCAATAGAATTTCAACATATAACATCTTACTCTCTTTATTCTACACATATGTGCTGTCC